CTATACGCTTTTAAAGTGACTTAACTACTTAAAACCGAGCCTTAAACTCAATACCAATTTCAGCCCTTAACCCAACCCAACATCTATACTATAGGACCAGAAAGCTCGAAGCAATATTTCTTTTTGTCGCCAGAGGAACTGTCGGAGCACCACTATATTCTTTACGTCCATTATCTCCAGATAAAAAAAAAAATCCCAAATAACATTATAGTAACAGTTATATAGTTAGACGTCCCTATTCTAAGAATCCAAGTAAACGAAGATATCATCAGAATACCAGTATATACCAGTAGTCATATCCTAAGATTATTAGCAGATGTGGGTGAATGATGAGTGCACAATAAACTTTCAATACTTGATACGACATGTCTCAAGTCTCAAAACATTTGCTTGCTTTCAATCCACCGATTTCAATATCAGTTCGTCCCCCTTTAATATCGTTTCCTCGCTGCATAACAAAGCGTTATTTGTCACACATTTATGGCAAATATAAGTACCCCCCCCCCCCGTTGTCAAAAATTAGAAACACAAATTGACAAGTATTATTTTATGACATTGACTAGGCTTTTTTTTTTAGAAACAGTACTTGTTTGATGCAGTTTCTATCTTCCAAGAAATAGCGAGATCCTTGAGTTAGTTTTCACGTCAATGCCTTCAAAAATTATGTCTCTCAAGCCGATCCGATGGTAATTACTAACTAAGTAAACCAAACGGTGACAACAAAAAAAACGACATCTCTTTCTTTCTTCAAAGGCGGGGAATATGATTTTTCTAATAGGTTTGATATAGAGTCCTTAAAAAAAAAAAAGTATACATTTAAAATATACCTACAGAAAAGATATATTTCTATTTTGAAAATTCAATAAAGGAGCTAAGTATGTGCAACTTCATTAGTAGTCATTTTGTATTCACGATTATGAACCCATTTAGCCTCATCCTTGAAGTTTTTGAAGTTCACGATGGATACACAAACATAAATGGCTGACCTATAGATAAAGTTCGGAAGGTTGCAGGCTTGCAGCCCTCGATCGAGACCGACAATTTCGCTGGCCGGCCTTCATTAATTGTGAGGGTTTAGTTATCAGTGCAAATGGGGAGGGGTGGTCAGTTCGTGCCCATTTAGCCCACATTTGTTTGTATCGAAAATGTCTTTGAAGTGAAACGACAGCAACAACAACAACAACAACAATCAAAGTTTTACAAATATAAAGATTGCAGATAGAAAAGTTTGATGCGGTTGACGAGGGGGGGGGGGGGGTGCTGGGGGCCTGGGGAGGGGCCCTAGGCCCCTGTATTGCTGCTGAAGTGTTATCTTCAGAAGATGATGCTCGATAGCTGTGTGCAAGCAAGACGCGGGCGCCTTCAATAATAAAGCGTGATCCAAGCCCCCTTGCTGAAGATAGACATCCCCAATAATTGAGACGGACTAGTCAACAACAACCACCCTGGATATTTCGTTTGTATTTGCATAACAATCATGCTTTGTTTTCTCCAGGTATAATAGTCTGATTCCAAGCAACATTACCTGATGCCGGAGTCAGTAATGGCGTATATTAGGCAAAATAGACCCTATACAGATTTAATTAAAAAAAGCAAAATAGTGAAAACAAAATCTAAAATATGCAGCAGACCTAGATATCAAATCAGATTATTTATACTAAATGTTTTATTCGCTATTTTCCTTCAAGAAAAATAATTTATTTCGCTTCATAGCCAGGCTATCATAACGAGTCGGTCATTTTGGTTATCGTCAAACACACAGCACAGCTGACTTCTTTCGACAACTGACGGAAGCCGAAATCCCCTTGTAAGGCACCATTTCATTATATTTCTGCATAACAAGTATGTATAAATCACTTTTGCTTAAGAAGCACCATGCATTTTTCAGAATGATTTGTTTGTGAGATCAGTGTATGTGATTTAAAGAAGAGTAATAAGTCGGACTCGGAGCTGAGCTGAGTGTGAGTGCATGGTTGTCTGTTTGTGACTGATGATAACCCCAATCATCTCTGAATCTGATCATGTGAATTGTTACCCCTGTAGTCTAGTACACAGGTACATGTACAGTGTGTGTGAGTCCCGGACATTTGAAATTACAGCGGCTTGTTTGCACATTAATTTGAAAAAAAATGTTGGTCAAGTAGGCTAGAGCCATAGAGGTATATTATTTACTAGCATGGATATTTTTCATGATAAACAGTTTTTAAATTTGTCTGAGACTGAGCTGAGGGAGCTACTCAGATTAAATTTAGTCTAGGGTAGCACGCCCAGTATTCGGTCCACTCCAAGTATTCGGTCAGATAGCCGTTTCAACAGCTGTAACAATTTAAAAAATAATTAATGAGCCGTGAAACTTGCGCAAATCACGCAGCTGAACAACTTTTCTTAACTCTCAAAATTAAATCAGATATAGGGCCCCGGAAAGATCTCCAACTTAGCTCGAAATTGGTCAGTGTCGCACAACTTTCTGCACTTCCTCGTTCTCTTAGCACATGCGCTAAGATGCATAGCCATATGTAGAAGTCTATTGCGAAACAACTACGTGTGCTGTCGCAATGAATTTAGTATGTGTGTGAAGAGAATCACTTCCGTGTTTGCTTCATCACAGCGAATTTGCAAATGATGCACTTGCCGATGTGCGAGAGGTATTTATACGATACCCTTGCCATGCGGTATCGCTCGTCCAGTATTCGGTCAATGCATTGACAATCAGTGCTTTATCGCGCGATTGTGTGAAAATAGTGCGCAAATACGCTTAGCTCCTTGGCAACGGAGATACCACGCACAAATCGCGTGACCGAATTCTAATCGGTGCGACCGAATTCTGGGCAGAAAAATGCTCCGTCTTCTTTCGGAAATATTTTTCTTATCATCATTCTTTATTTTAAGTGACTATAAAATCCTGTTAGAGGAATAATTTTCCTTTCTTTTGATGGGTAGATTGTAAAATAAAAGAGGTAAGAATTTAAAATATTAGTGATTTCCCCTTAACTGACCGAATACTGGGCACTCTACCCTACCGTACATTTTCGTGTGTGGAAGATTTCATGAAAGAAGGAAAGGGCTTTGCCTGTGTGGAGACTGGAGAGCTTTAAAAAAACCTTTTTTTGTTCATTCTACAGATTCTGGCCAGATATACTTCCAGAATATTTTAGATACGACTAAAATGACTAAAAAAGGTACTAATATTAATTATGATCAAACATACGTTCATGATGCAGAAACTAGTACAAGGTCTATATTGAAGATGTTCGGTCTAAATTTAGGCGTTTTTCAGGACAATGCAATCTTATTTTCTAACAGTGTGTATGTACGGCGTATGAGAAGGTCCCGGGTAGCTAGCCGTTAGGCTGCCAGCGCCAAAGTATGGGCACACTTGCACATAGAACTTTCACATTGAGTGCTGTACAGTGAGTTAACGCGCTCCCATTGGCTAATCCACTTGAGCGGTTTCGAATTTAAGTGAGAGAGGGCTCACTTTAGCAGAGAGCGCAATGACAATGCCAATACGTAATTTTACAGAACACACTGACATGTCATGCTTTATACATGTGACGCACTTCACACATAACTGACGCTCACTCTGCATACATGTAGGTTCACACATAAAATAGAAAAATCAACGAACATTTCAGTACAACTTGCAAAGTTGTACCTTAAATATATGAATTCCAAAGAAAAAAATAAGTAAGGCTTAAACTTAAGTAAAATATTTAACTATTTAAGGATGGTGAAAAAAATCGTTCAAAATAGAAGGTTTGACTGGAATATCATGATTTTGGTATCGAATCAAACAGAAAATTGTAAACTTTCTCCTCACACTAATATATTATAACGTTAAGCGAATGGCAGCCAGCAATAGCCAATCAGAAAGGGCCCTTGTAGGGCCAAAAAGTGCTAATGTTTGAAAATGAGGCTGAAAACGGTCGAAAGTAAAGGGAATGCGCTGGATGGGAGCTAAAGTTCTATGTGACTTGTGAACTAGCACCGCCTTACTTATAACCTTTGACCTTTGACCGGTTATTCAAGAAGGTATATTTTAGCATCTTTCAAAGCATTTTTAGGATGTTCTGGAACTCTGGAAGTTTTTACTAATGTGACCAGAATCTGTAGAATTACCCTTAAATTAAAAAAAAAAAAAAAATCACACATTTACGCATACATTTTTAGGGCACCGTATGGACATGGGCACTCAAAACTTAAATTTGAAGTGATCTGTCCAGATCAATGTTTTTCAACTGGGGTGTCGCAAGAGAATTTGAGTAATTTAACCAAATTTGTTATTATTTTGGAAGAAAGTCGATTTTTGTGAAATCCAAATATTAGAAACGGCAAGAGTATTAAATTTCATTACTTTAGGAAATAACATTTTAAAGTGTCTTTCTTCCTCCCTTATAATACAGGCCAGTGGTTGTCGTAATTATGAAAATGCAAAATGAAAATCATATTTAAAATGGGAGAGTTGAAAATTGTCTGACTTTGGATTAACTTGCCTCATCATGTAATCCTATAAGTATGGCTTGGACTTGTTGTTGATCGCAGCAATCCTCCTGAAAATAGGCCTGGGACGAATGCCATTTTAACTTTTTGAATATTTGTGCAAACAAGTATTAAAAAGTTTGAATATTATGAATACCGAGTTTCAATGTAAGTTGTGCCATTAGCTGGGAATATACCCGGCCCCTTATTCAGTGTTATTTAGGGTACCGTATTTGCCGACGTAAAGGTCGCAGTATTTTTGGAAGAGAAAATATCAAAAAGTCGGGAAGCGGCCTTTGCGGCGAAAGAGTAAAAAAAAGAAGAAAATTCGCAAGTCAAAACCATGAAAAAACAGTACAAATTTGTATTTATGGGACTACAATAACTATACCACTATGGTACAGGACATTTCCACACATCTTACCAACAATTTTATCTTGCATTGTTGATATGAAGACGAAAATAAACTTCCTAAAACAACATCTGCCGATAGATCTTAATCTAAGTTCGTGCCAAAGCATTGCAAAAGTAAAAGTAAGGACCGTTACAGAAGTCGCCATTTTGTATCTATTTCATGCAATTTCGCATTACACCGTACATTGTGGTAGGGGTATATATCGGACACCAAATTTGCCTGTCCGCTTGTTTTTTTCCCCTTTTTTTCTTCTTCTTTCTTCCCCTCTTTGAAGTGTCAAAGTTGGGGGTGCGGCCTTATCGCGGGCAAATATGGTATGCATAATAATAATAATAGCTAGCATGTTCCCTCCCTTTGAAAGCACCCCTACAGGTACCTCAACTTTGTTGCATAAAAAGTACTCTTTACCAGAGATTTTGGGAACATTGCGGTCCCTCCGACCCTGGAGTGGGGGAAGGGGGGGGGGGGGGGTCGGGGGAATATACTAATGCAATGTCCGGTGTGGCCAATGGTACGGCCGTGATATTCCACTTGATGTTGTACATTTCAGATGTACATGGCCAAAAAATATTAAGGAAAGGATATCAACAACAAAAAGTTCCCTAGGATGAATTTCTTAAAGATCGTCACCACAGTGAAAATGCAGTGATTCGTTGTAAGATATACTAAGTACATGTGTAAGATATATGAAGTACATGTGAAAGATTTACTTTTTCTGACAGATTGGAAAAAGAATGGAGACATATTCAGTAGACATACAGATATCTTACAGAAAAGATTATTATTTACTCTAAGTAGCATATTTAATGTGTTAAAAAATCATGCAAACATTTGATGTATCAGCATTATCAACTTCTGGTGATAAAATTTCTTATTTTCTCCCATATACTTGTACATGTAGCAAATGTGGAATTCTTTACTTGAGGGGTGTACACTGTACATGTACATTTGAACTTTGGTCTTGCAACTACTGTACAAATGTACATGTATTAGTATTAACAGCTTGGCATGGCCTGAAAATGGCTGAAATATTAAGAGTGTATTCTTAAACTTCTTTTTCCATTTTTGAGAAAATAATTTAGATACACCCTTGGATATGATATGATTTATGAATCATTACATGATCCATTGTACCTTCCCAGAGCTATACATGGACATCTATAGTTGCGCTTTTACCATGATACAGTCACAAGGTCGTTAGGTTTGTAGTAACGTCTTTAAAAAAGTTTTTTTTATAGACATGTACAAACATGTAAAGTACACATTTTATTTTAGGAGCACTGTGGTATTGTACCTTGGAATGTTGGGGTAATAATGATTGCAGAGCCAGAGAGAAAGCACTGATATGGATAACCTGTCCCTGGGTAAAAAATAATAATAATAATACATAACATTTATTAGGCGCTTATTATGGGTGTTTCTAAGCGCACCATTGTCTGACTTAAAATTAACAACCAAAACTTATAAGAAACATACAAAATATTAATCTTTTCTTTATTTAATAAATCATGCGTATATAATAATACAAATACAAATAAAAATGAGATCAAACATAACATCAAACAAGGAATAAAATGGTGTGCACCTCCTATGACCTGCTATGAAATAATACCATATTATTGCTATAATTATTACCAGGAAAAAAAGAATAGAAAAATGCTGTAGGGAATTGCATTTAGTCGAGAGACCAAATATTTTCAAGTACTGTCTCTTATTTTATACTATAATGAACTCAACATTTTTAGTATCAGCTGAATTTAATAATCAAGGGAAACTACAATCTACATGTACTAATCGGGACAAACAGGCCCTACAACTGTAAAATGTTTCAGACACTGCATTACAGCACAGTCTGTGTGGATACTGCAGCACTAGAAGAGCCATCACGGCTCTTGCTCTATTGCTTCTCAAGTAGGGAAAAAAGGTCAATTGGTTGTTGAATAAATAAACTGCCCTCTCTTGAGCCAGGAGAGCCAATTTGTGAGGACTCGTTAGTATCTGAACCCTGCAGTATCTGATCTATTCCACAGATATTGTGCAGGTACGTGTGTATGAATCATAATCATATGCTGTACCTGTATTTGTGCAAAAAAAGCATGCACAAAAGCGTGACCTTTCAATGGTCGTGACAATAGAATACAATGTACACGACTTAAGGATAGTAGTACTGGGTATTTGTTTAGTTTTATGTGGAAAGAAGGCATACAAGATAATTTGTAGACGCACTGTTGTGAGAGGGTCAAAATATGTATGTCATGCATTGTTTCATGTTTTTTTCATGTTTCCGATTACTTATAGGACCCTGCCGTATAGAACTTACCATCGATGGTAACTTTGCCATTAAAGGTAAAGACCAGTTATGGTCATGCGATTGCATTGTGAAAGAAAAGTTGTGGAATCGATCAGAAAAGGTTGATCATCTAGCATCTACATGTAGCATCTGCAAGGTTCTGGAATCATCAAAATGATAAGAAATTTGGCCCATTCTTCGTAAAGTTACAAGCACTATACACAGAAAGATGTATATGGGACTACCCTATATCTCTCACAGACCATGAGAGAAACAAATTTACCAAATATATGAATTAGTAGGCGGTTTCCCGGCAAATTTGTTATCATCATGTATTAGTCAAAACACATTCTTTCACATGACTGGTAATGAGAGCTTCCATTTCACTTTTTGAAATTAGGGCGTTTCCAATACTGGTCTTTACCTTTAATGGTAAATTTCATTGAAACCTTGAATTGATTGCCTGTAGAGTGATGTTGCCATGGTAGTTGATAAACAAAGGTAAATTTTACGCAACAGGGCCCAGGTCAATAGTGAATTGTTACGTGGATCTAAAACTATTTGTTTTGACGAAATATTCAGCATATTTCAAAAGCTTACCGTTGTTGCAATTGTGATTCAGTTATTTCGTGACTTGAAACATAAAAACAATTTACAGATGAATCACTATTTTTTATTGGTACACAGAAGATTTTATCTTTGCGCAGCATCATAATTTTTTTCTCAAAGTAAGAACAAATATTTTTTTTCCCCCTTCCACAGGGTTCTTTATTTTCAAAACAAATTCCATCATATACAGTATATCCATATATCATATACAAATAATTAAAGAAATAATTTCCATACATAATGGCTTACCACAGATAATAATCATCACGGCTGAAAACTTTGTGGTAGATAAAAACAAACATTTTTGACAAAATTAGTACTTTAAATATATAATTTTAAAAAACAAATATTTTAATGTGCAAGCAAGTACACTGTATATTGAAGACAGCTTAATACGGTGAAGTTGGAATGAACTTGACTTAGGTAGAATCACTAGAATGTCCTAACTTCCCAAGGTTTGGTTGGTGGCGGAAGTGATTGGGGAAGTGATGTCCACACTCAGCTAGAAAGGTGAACGGAAGACTAGCTGCTAAAGCAGGAAACACAAATATTTGAAAAGCTTTGAATTGTGGAAGGGTGTTGCATTTGAGTAGCAAGGAGTTGAAAGTTCTGCTTTTAAAGTCCATGTATTCACATTGGTTGTAGAAACCATTATCACCCAATGTAACCTTTCACAAAACGACAGTGGTAAAACATTCCATAAATGAATTGGAAAGGGGGTAAAAAACAAACAAACAAACAAACAAACATGGACATGTAGCTTGTGCAGGCAACAGTGGTCCTTACCGACCAGAATTTTTTTGCAATATACAAATTATTATTGTTAAAGGTAATACAAAGTTTTGGTATGGGGTCGTGAATTTGGTTCAAATGAACATATTGGAAGCATATGCGATCCTACAATATTCACTGATCGTTGTCGCGGTCGAAATCGACTCTTAAGCTATGAAATTGTAAATAATAAAAACTTTATGTTGTATAGCTCCCTCTCAAGGTCAAATATTCATTAAGCTGTAAAACAATGTTTCTTGACTAAAATCGACCGATTAGCTATTCCCGTTCGGAAATTATATACCACAACTACATATTCTGAGATTTTCATGGTCGCAGCTACCATTGTACGGCCGTAGGAGCTATTTGAAATTTTTCAAAATTTACCGGGAGCACCAGTAAATCTTTATATTCAATTTTTCTCGAAAGCAGAAGTGTTTTAGAGGCTAAAATTTCTAGTCCTTTTAATTCATCCCCAGAGGCATCCAAATATATCAACATTGTAAAGAATCACTATCCACCCATTTTTCAAAATTTCCCAAAACTTTGTAATACCTTTAAGGACATCTATTTTCATGGCAAGAACCTATTGTGTATAATAAAAAAATTAGTGCTGTGATTTCATTTTGTCATAAAATTAAACTTTCATGAAACTGATTTGCATGCAAATTTAAATAATAACACATTATTGGAAAGTGTGTCGTTAATAATATTCTGCTTTTACATGTATATAGCGCTTAATACATCTACGATCAGTACGATGTCTCTAAGGGCTTTACAGATACTATTACTGTGTGCACAATCTTCACTCCCTGGGGAGTATTCCAACCAGGCATTACTTGACGCTCAAAAACTGTTTCACCAACAATGGCGGTCGCATCCTACTGGGTACCCATTTAAAACCTGGGCGGAGAGTAGCAAGCGCAGGTTAATATCTTGCCAAAGGATATTTGTGCCGTGTCGAGATTCGAACCCTCGACCTTCGCATCTCCAGTCAAGCGCCTTAAACCACTCGGCCACGACACTCCTTCTTCACCCCTTGTATCTAAATTTAGTATCTTGCATACTGAGAGGGCTCTAAATTTGCAAGGTACCTTGTAACAGTCACAGGGTCACGGCAACAACCAAATGAGAGAAAAAATGTAGGAAAATAAAGATAGACAAAAAAGAAGCTGAACTGCTAGGGATCTGGGCTATTCCTCTTCAAATTCAGGTTCAATGAACTCGATGTGAATAGTAAAAAACTAACAAATCCAATGTTTTTTTTCTTCCCTATACCACTTTTCTTTCTTCCCAGAGACATAAAACTCAACAAGCCGCGCTCATCCATCACAACTGGTTGGCAAAGGTTAGAAAGGCAAGAAAGCAGAGTGCCTGCAGGTATGTCTATTTGTTGGTGAGATTTATGGTGACGGTGAACTGGTGAAGCCTCTCTCTCTCTAGGCCTGTCCTCATCAGCTCGAGATTGCCAAATATCCCGTTATTTGAACTATCCCGATCACAAATTATCCAGTTATTTTGCGTCTTCATCAGCCCAAAGCTGCAATTAGCGGGATATTTGGTCGAGATAATCATCCCAAGATATCTTGGGCTAGTTCGCAAAATATCCCGCTATTTGTCTAGTGCGTTTTCACCAGCCCGAAGACTCGCACTATACGTGAATGCTGAGCAAAATATCTCGAGCTTGAGTTTCAAGTTTTGAGGTCAAGTCTCGAGCAGATGAAGAGGTGATTTGTAACTTCCGGATTATTTCCCAAATCAGAAATAGCGGGCTTTTTGGTAATTTCGAGCTGATGAAAACAGGCCTTCTGTTTCTCGTCTCTTTTTCTAGCCTCTTGCAGTGCATCTCTCTGTATCTCCTTCATGTGTGTACTGTGTACAGTCTTGTCTCTCTTTTTGTTTCTATCTCTTTAATCTTCTCTTTTTCTTTCCTTTTACAAAAGTACCTCAGAAACCCTTTTTATGGATTTCTTATGTCAGGTTTATATCTCTACCGCTCTTTTATTTCTTTTTCTAGATCCCTGCATCTCTAATCCTCTAGACTGAATCTCTTTTCCTGGGCTTCTTTGTCTCTCTCTCTCTCTCTCTCAAATCTCCCTCGTGTTCATCTCTTTAGGCATGTCTTTCTCTATATCTCACAGTTTGATGTCTGCACAACTGATGTGATTCTTTATCAGTTTTTAAAGGCATCGTTCAACAATGTTAAAATAAATTTGAGATGCATGGCCCTGCGTGTTATCAGTGTATGTAGTATGGTGTAATTTTGAAGCCCTAACAAAATTGCACTTCAATGTTATCATGAAGTGCCTCAAAAAAGTAAAAATCTTTGAGTGAGTGGTTTTACGATACTCATTTTCCCAAATAGACTGGAGTGTTATAAAAACTGTTAGGAATTCAAAAAACAATTTTTTTATTTCCAATCATAAATATCTTGATAATCAGACAGGCGATTGGCTTGTAAAAGTCATGGGATTCCTGACTGACCTAAAGGTTTATGATTATGATTGCAGCATGAGCTAATCCAGATTTTATTTCAGAATCTGAGGCAATGTTACAGAGTCGCTTTAAGCAGATGACATACTTAGTCATGGACATACATACATATACCTGCATGTCTCTGTCTTCCATTGACTTCCAGGTTCCGTGTATTCCTGTAATAGATCTTGGTGCTATTTTATTTATTTATTTATTTGCGCCTACATGTATGGCTGCTCCCAGGGAGGTGATGATTTATGTGAGAGAGAGAGGTGTGTCTGGTGAGGAGGAGAGAGAGGGAGAGAGAGAGAGAGAAGGCCTGTCTTCATCATCTCGAGATTGCTAAATAGCCCGCTATTTCTGCTTTGGGAAATAATCCAGAAGTTACAAATTGCGTCTTCATCAGCTCAAGATTTGACCTTGAAACTTGAGCTTGAGAAATTAGCTCGAGATATTTTGCTCAGCGTTTGAGCATAGTGCAAGTCTTTGGGCTGGTCAAGACGCAACGGACAAATAGCTGAATATTTTGCCAAATAGCGGGATATATTGCAAACTAGCCCAAGATATCTTGGGATGATTGTCTCGACCAAATATCCCGCTAATTGCAACTTCAGGCTGATGAAGACGCAAATTAACTGGATAATTTGAGATCGGGATAGTTCAAATAGCGGGATATTTGGCAATCTCGAGCTGATGAAGACAGGCCTAGTGAGAGAGAAAGAGGAGGTTGCGCAGAGGTGTGTCAAGTTATAGGCCAACAAACTTCTCCCGCATGGGCCAAACTCATAAACATGTACCTGTATGCTGATGTATCAAGTTGCTCAAGATGCCCTAATAATGCACTTTTTGTATATTTCATCAAAATTTACTGACTCTCGTATTAGTGATGGTAAATGGCATGGCTTTAGATGATAATTTTTTATAATTTCCATGACTTAAAACAATAAGTTTAATGAAAATTTAGTGCCCTATTGTAAATCCCATAGAAATTTATGTTTGGATTATGTAACACGTCTTTGTAATGTTCGTACATTTCAATAGTTGATGGATGAGGCTATTGAAAATGCCTTTGGTTGATATTTTGACAGGCTTTTGTTATCATGACATGTACACTTTTCTAATGACCTAATGCACATGTACCTATAGCAATTAGCATGGAAATGATCTTTCTATCATGGCTATTACAGTATTAGGTTATTGGCCATCGTCCTGTGACACTACAGTTTAATAATAGTTTTAAACTTTGGAATCGTCAGGAGTTCTACATGACTTTGTATATTTTGAAATATGAAGACAATAGTAGCTGGAAGTATAATTTTCTTGATTAAGTTTACATGAGAAATTTAATGTTGTTTTGTTTTTGTTCTCAAAGTGCATGTGCAAAATGCATGAAAACAGAACGCCACCTTTACCTTTATAAAGGTCGCGTACCTTTCTAAACGTCATGTTCTGTTTTCATGCATTTGAAGTGAAATCATATGGTTTTCTTAGTTAACCTAATGTACATGTACTATAACAGTTTATAATTCCCCTTTGTTGTACGTAACCTCCCTTATGGCTTAATTAAGAAAAAAAGAAAAGAAAGAGTAATCAAACTTTACCTTCAAGTTATTTTTATGTACCTCTTTTAATACCTGATAATGTGTAAGATGCACAATATTTGAATCAAGTTTGAGGGTTTTTTTTTTCATTTTTGATTTCTGTGTTAACATTTCCAACGCTTGTGGTTCAGCAGATCCCTGCATATTATTATTATAAGGCAGCTGACACACTTCCATATGAACTCCTAGTCTAGCTTAAAGGTGAAATGATTTTTTTTCCCCCTTCCTTTTCATTAAAAAGGAATTCATTCGAGACTGCAGTACCCTTCTCTCTCCCCCTCTCTTGTATATTAAAAGGGGGATAATGCATAAAAATAAACTTAACACCACAAACTGCCAACATATTTCAAAGATAGTAATGGAAGAAATAAAGCTAAAAGAACAAAGGTATATATTTGAATTATGAAATAATTTCTTTTTGCATCAGTTTTAGTAGATTTTTTCCATCCATTTATATGTACCTGAGATGAATGAGCAAAAATCAAAATCACAAATATGAAATTATAGATTGTTTTCTTTTTATCTCTTTTTTGTACCAAACATAGTTTTATGCCGTCAAGGTTTAACTACAAATTCAATTCAAAGTTTTATCTGCTGGGAAATTTGGAAAACTTGGGCCAGAACTGCAATATCTTGTCTATACGTGTACCGTACATTTCTACAAGACATATAAATACTTGAAAAAAGTGTGATGCTTTTATTTTAATAACGTGGTAGTACCCAACCAGTGTCTGGAAGAGCAGACTACACCGATGAATGGGATACACATCAATTTGGGTTGCCATGCCAACCACTGATCTCCAGGCAGAGCCCATTGGTAATGTTAGTACACTCATACATAATGATGTTATAGGCAGGTCCTGGCAATGCCAGCCATGGGATGGCATTAAACTCTCTCTCCCTCCCCTGATCTCTATCCATCACAGTTTTTCTCATGACCTTTACCATTTTTAGATGTTGCTGGGAGGCTGAGTGCGGTGGTGCTCACGCATGGGTTTCAACGTGATCTGGGATAAACAGAGTGTTTAAAATACAGAGATTGGTCTTTTGATCACTGTGTTTTATAACTTGATACAATAATCATTGTAAATACGTTTTGAGGGATGGTCTTTTATCTTTGCTTTGATGCGATTTCAGAAAATGGCTTTTTCTTTTTAATCAAACCTCCTTTTTTTTAAGGTTGGTTACTTTGTTTTTCGTGGTCATGTACATGTAAGTTTGTGCTGGAGCATATAGTATGTAAATGCATGCCTACATGAAATAACATAGGGCCTACACATGATAGTGCAAGGCCATAGATGTATCAATTTGGCAATTAGGTCCACAACCATCCTCTGCCGCCAACAAACACTTGTACTTTTCTCTCCCCTCTTGCTGTCCGACCATTTTGGCGCTATGCTCTGAATACCCGCTCGATCCGCTGCTAGCTGTCCACATCCCTCCCCCTCTCTTGTTTACAGCGGCATCTGCATATTACCACAGAATGAAGGCAAATATACATTCACAAGACGTGTGCACACATCTTCTTTTGAGGGCTGCGCTCATTTTTCCTCTGCCCTGCTCTCCTCTCCCTTTTCTCTTCTTGCTCGCTCACTCCCTTTCCACCGCTGAATTGACCATCAGGGTAGACAATGGCACCCAAAAGTACAGCCGATTGAGAAGGGAAGGCAGTCAGTGCGTTGAACTAAGTTGCCGAGGGTAACTGCCCTTTTCTTATTCTTCCTGCTTCATACATGAACACTTCTTGTCATATGTGATTCTCAAATTCATGAATGACTTGGTCCCTCACAAATTAGGTATTAGTCAGGCCTCGGGATAATAGTTACCTAGTGGTTTGTTTCAGTTGGACAATTATGCAATATGTTGTCTTGAGATATACATGTAGGTGTGTGATTAGGTTTATCATGTTGCTTCAATATGGACAATAATACTTAAGAGCTGACTGAGTATGAAAAACAACAACAGCAGTGCAACAGAAAGCTGTTGAAATGAACCTAGGTAAAGCTACAAAATAATCTTTTTTAATTATACTGCATTATTAAAACTGATACAATTTGATTTGATTTGATTTGATTTTCTTCTGCATTAATTATAATGAAACAATTTAGCAGGCCATGAGCCAGTCTGCAAATAGTCCATTTTACTTACATGTACATGTATATAAGATTTGGCCCGGGTAAAGTTACTGAGACCATTAAAGTCTTTCACAAGATTGACAAGAAGGTTGTCCGTCTGACTCTTGCTGTCGGAGTAGCTCCCAGAGCCTCCAAAACAGACCCCAAAGTTGGGTTGACATCACCCCATCTACCCCATGAACCAAAAATTGTCAGTAGGAAGTAGTATGACTAGACATACTAAAA